AATAACTTCATTTTTAACGCATTTTGAGTAATTTAACGAAACAATTAACACGCCTGGTGGTGATAAAAGGCACTATGAATCAGAATGTTAATAACGGAATTCAGTGTATGTGTGTGGGGGAGGGGGAGAGGGAGGGGGAGAGGGAGAGGGAGAGGGAGAGGGGAGAGAGGGGAGAGGAAAGGGAGAGGGGGAGTCAGCGCTACACCATTAACATCAGACATCAGCAATAAAAAAAACAAGCTATATATCAGGTTTCTTCACAGACAATGCCCTCTCACACTATACATGAGTCAGTGTTATTAAAATGGCTCACATGCGCCAATATGCCATGACTCCTAGTGCCATAATTTTGTCTCAGGGCCGAGGAAATATCCAATAATGTGGACGGTATTATCTGGAGCGGCCGTAATGGTGGTCACAACGAGAGGGGAATGAAACGTTCAGGGGATTGTGGCATTGTATCTTAAACTCCACTCACCTCGTATACGGCCTAACGTGTTAAGCTCCCCCCCACAAACAGTTTACTTAACGTATTATACCCACAGATAAAGTTACTGGTGGCAAACATATAACAGATTGTAAACAAAGTCATGTCACGGACGATATTCACTAGTTGCAAACAAAGTCATGTCACGGACGATATTCACTAGTTGTAAACAAAGTCATGTCACGGACGATATTCACCAGTTGTAAACAAAGTCATGTCACGGACGATATTCACCAGTTGTAAACAAAGTCATGTCACGGACGATATTCACTAGTTGTAAACAAAGTCATGTCACGGACGATATTCACCAGTTGTAAACAAAGTCATGTCACGGACGATATTCACCAGTTGTAAACAAAGTCATGTCACGGACGATATTCACCAGTTGCAAACAAAGTCATGTCACGGACGATATTCACCAGTTGTAAACAAAGTCATGTCACGGACGATATTCACCAGTTGCAAACAAAGTCATGTCACGGACGATATTCACCAGTTGCAAACAAAGTCATGTCACGGACGATATTCACCAGTTGTAAACAAAACTATGCGTGGCTGATAAATATTCCCCATTGTAATTTCGTTTTGTGTTGATGTTTCAGTCCGCCACGACGGGAGGAAAAACTACATTTTGTAAATATTGTAATTGTTGTTGTTTACTGCGTAGATGTGGTTAGGTTAGGTTAGCAATCGTTTGGTTAATTTAAGTTAGCAGCGTTTAAGTTAAGTTAGGTTAAGTTGGCGAGAATTTGGTTAAGTTAGCAATTGTATGGTTATATTAGGTTAGCGCGCACACACACACACACACACACACACCACACACACACACACACACACACACACACACACACACACACACACACACACACACACACACACACACACACACACCATTAACCTAAAAATATGAGATCCACCAAAAACTTTAATCTGCATCACTCAGGCTTTGATCCAACACACTTCCTAAAACAATTTTGGCGTCAGCGGCGGTAAGCAAACATGACAGTGAATATATCTCCATAGTGTGAGTGAGAGGGAGCGTCCTCCACACACACACACACACAATACAGTACAGGTGATGTGATATTGGATCCTCTCTCTCTCTCTCTCTCTCTCTCTCTCTCTCTCTCTCTCTCTCTCTCTCTCTCTCTCTCTCTCTCTCTCTCTCTCCGAACCTTAAATTATTCACGCACAAAAAACCCACAAAAAACAAAAGAGTAAATCACAAATAAAAGACAAATTTAATAAAACTTCTCAACCAATTACTACATAAACTTACAGCTTACAGACACAACACCTTACTACGTGTTGGTACAGGTGAAGAGAGAAGCTGTTAATTAAATAAGGTAAAAAATATAACACCTGTAGACTCTGTGTGTTATATGTGTTATGGGGTTTGGCTTTAGTTCAGGAGAGAGAGAGAGAGAGAGAGAGAGAGAGAGAGAGAGAGAGAGAGAGAGAGAGAGAGAGAGAGAGAGAGAGAGAGAGAGAGAGAGAGAGAATAAATGAAATAAGAAGCGAGAATAACAGCATGTAAACCCATCAGGTAACATCACTTAAAGTCTACGGTGTTATCCTGCCGTGTTTAACTTAATGCTACCGGCGGCGAGGGACTAAAGCAAAGGCAAAGACACGAGTAACAACAACAGAAACAACAACAACAAAGGGAACAACAAAACAGCAGAAAGAAAAAACAACAACAACAGTGGAAGCATTTGGTGTCCTCAGAGAGATGGTTTAAGTCCAGAATTTAAAAAAATCATTACTGTATCTGGAATTAATTAACCTCCAGTCTTATATAATACAACAGCCTCTAGTCATAACTACCACCTAACCTAACCTAACCTAACCTAACCTAACCAAACCTAACCTAACCTAACCTAACCTAACCTAACCTAACCTAACCTCGAAACTACTCTTGTACATCCTGGTAAAAAAAAAATATATTAATATATTTCTGGACTCACTGTATTTTTGTCCTTCCTAGAAAAAAAAACACCAAAAAAAACCAAATGACTCTCGTGTTTCTCTCATTTTAATGTTAATTTGATTATTAATTTACTTCATGAAATAATTAATGAGGTGAAAATACGAGGGTGTGTGTGTTTTTTAGGTCAGTCAATTAGGTTGGGTTGTCTGATGGTGTTTTATTTGTTTGTTTGTTTGTCTGTTTTGTCTGTAAGTGTGTTTGTGTTTGTTTATGTTTGTCTGTCAGTGCGTCTGTGTCTGTTGTTTGTGTCTGCGTGTGTGTATATGTATGTATGTGTCTGTGTTTGTCCATCTTTATGTCTGTTTGTCTGTATATGTAATACGCATACGTGGATTACAACCAAACCAAACCAAACCAAACCTAACCTAACCAAACCAAACCAAACCAAACCAAACCAAACCAAACCAAACTAACCAAACCTAACCTAACCTAACCAAACCAAACCAAACCAAACCAAACCAAACCAAACCTAACCTAATAACCAAACCAACAACTTAACCTAACCAAACCTAACCTAACCAAACCTAACCAAACCTAACCAAACCAAACCTAACCTAACCAAACCCTGAATAAAACGTTAGATATTTATTTTTCTTTTACACATCATTAAAACAATCTCATTATTTCAGCTCTATATTTAAGTGAGAAAAAAGAATGATGTTTGAAAGAACAGGTGAGGCAGTTTGAGTCTTAAGGCAATTTGAAGATTAAATGTTGGGTTGGTGTATAATTGGACATGCAAATTGCTTACACAACACCTGGCGCTTTCTCACGGGGGTACAGGTGTGGGTGGGGGTACAGGTGTGGGGAATGCAGGTGTGGGGTACAGGTGTGGGGGTACAGTGTGGGGAGTACAGGTGTGGGTAAAGGTGAAGTTACAAAATGAGGGAAAGAGAGAGAAAGAGACCAGGGATGGAGGATGAGGTGGGGGGAGACAGAGGGGAGGTCAGGAGAGGGACAGATGAAGGAGGAACAGGGAGGTCAGGGGAAACAGGGTGAGGCTAGGAGAGGAGGGAGACAGGGGATAAGGGGGAGGTAGGGAGGTCAGGGGGAGGGAGACAAAGGTAGGAGGAGCAGGGAGGTCAGGGGGAGACAAAGGGGAGGAGAAACAGGGGGTGAGAGTGTAGGTGGAGAGGTCAGGGGTCGAAGGGACAGGGGGTGAGGGATAGGGCAGAGGGTCAGGGTGAAGGGACAGGGATGAGGGGGGGAAGGAGGGGTGGTCAGGGAGGGGTCGCAGATGTCTCGGAGCGAACCATTAACTGAATTTAAAAACTGAAACGGTTTGGGCTTCATAGGGGAAAAAAATAACATAAAACGACTCTCGTCTTTTCGGAATTTTCCCTTCATTTTTTCCCTTCAATTTTTTCCCTTCAATTCTGAGCGACTCTTCTCCTTCATATAGCGGGGGGATTAAAGCGCTATACTATAAAAGAGAATTAGAGGTGATTCTCCTATATCCATCTCCATATAAACTGGCACTTAGAGGCTCTTTAGTCTTTTTCTTTGAGCCCAGCTGATAGGTATTCTATGTTAAACCTTAAAGGGGCCATGATTATACTATGTAATACTTGGCATTAGGTTCGAAAATACTACGATAAAACAGGTCTAAATCACCCTTTAAGAGTCAGGTGGCGGATGTGTCTGTGTGAGTCGGGCAGTCATATAATTGTAACTCACGTGTGGAAGGTCTTGTATCATAAAGGTGAGAATCCTATGGTATCGTATGGTAAGAGTCGCCTTTAATGACTACTGATGGTTGTGTCTCTGTAGCCTCGAGGTCGTGTAATTGTCGGTGTGTTTGATCCTCGCGAATTACGTTAACTGAAGAATTAACAAGGCGGCCTTGGCAATTTGGCGATATTGGCGTTTTTATCATTCATTAACAACCTTCAGGGCTGGCGGTGGCTGAGTGGATACAGCTCTCGGTTCCCGTCCTAATGTTCACTGGTTCGATCCCCTCTCAAGGTGGTCGTGTGCAGTGTCTTTTCATCTCCCTCTTGAGTCGTTAAGCTTCCAGGAACTAATTCTTACTTTCAATGACCTTTAATTGCGTTTCTTCTTCTTCTTCTCGTTTATTCTTTCTCTTTCTTATATTTGTTGTTACTTCGTCTCTTTCTCTTCTTCTTCTTCGTCATTTCTCACTCCTTACCTTCTTCGTCTTCTCTTCTTAATGCTCTTCTTCCCTCTCCCACTCCTACATTCCGCTATATCCTCACTACTCCTCTTCCTCCTCCTCCTCCTCCTCTCCCACCCCTCTTCCTTTCAATACACTCCTCTATATCGTCACTCAATCCTCCTCTTCCTCCTCCTCCTCCTACTTTTCCATCCCCTATCCTCCTCTTCCTACACTCCCTCATATCCTCACTCCTGTTCTTCCTCTTGCACCCCTCCTCCTCTTCCTCCTCCCTCATCCCCCCTGTTCTTCCTCTTCCACCCCTCCCCTCTCTCTTCCTCCCTCACCCCTACCTCAACCACCCACCACACCTCCCCCACCAGAACCAAAACACACACTCTTCTACTCACCCCAAAAGCGGAGAATCGTTTACACTTGCGGGTGTCTTTACAAAGGTACACCTCTGACTTGGGTCTTGGAGGTTTCTTGGGCCTCATGATGACCTTCTGCTCGCTGCGAATGTCCTCGTCGAGAAGCTTAGAGTCGGAGGAGACGGAGAGCTGCCTGGAGAGGGATTCCCTATGGTCAACCAGCCGCTCCCAACCTGTAGTAAAGGGAAGAAATGATGGTGGATAGTGTTAGTATGTGATGGTGAGAAGGGATGGTGATATTTAAAGAATGGTATTTTGAATAATGATGTAAATTAGTATAAGATTGATAATGGTGATGGTAGTCGTAATAATAATAATGATGATGATGATGATGATGATGATGATGATGAGGATGATAATAACAACAATAAAAAACATCACTAAACTAAAATATATAAAAAGATATAGAAGAAGAAGAGAGAGAGAGGTCAGTGGGCCAGCAGTTTGCTTGGCTCTGGTTGACGCAAATGTTAAATACCTAATGGCAAAAATTGTTAATGTGGCGGTAATCCTTCCTCCATCCTCCCTCCCCCCTCTCTCAGCCCACCACTCCCTCTCTACCCACCCTTTCTCTTCCCCATCCCTCTTCCCTTTCTCTATTACCCGTCTTTTCCCCCATTCCTCTCCCTTCCTTCACCCCCTCCTTTCTTCATTCCTCCTCCCTTTCTCCCTCTCTTCTCCCTTCCGTCCAAACCTTTCCTCCTTTATCTCTCCAGCCCTCCTACCTTCTTGCCTCCCTTCCTTCATTCTTCCTCCTTCCCTCCCTTCCTTCATTCTTCCTCCTTCCCTCCCTTCCTTCATTCTTCCTCCTTCCCTCCCTTCCTTCTTCATTCTTTTCCTCCTTCCTTCTTCCCTGCTGTAAAACCCACAAACAGCTTCCATATATTGTGTCAGCTGTGAAGGAAGTAACAACACACCTCCTGACGTTCTCCACAGCTGACAGTCTCTCTTTCTCTCTCCACTCAACAGCTGACAGTCTCTCTCTCTCTCTCCACTCACGCAGCTGATAGTCAAGAGTCTCCTATACAAGTCGTGCTGATAACAGTGTCCAGTCCGAGGGGTGAAGCTGACAGTCTCCCCTCCCTCACAGTACACGCGCTCGGCAGTGGAGGGGAGCTCACACACACACACACACACACACACACACACACACACACACACACACACACATTACTACTACTACTACTACTACTACTACTACTATAGACTTATCACTACATATTTTATTATCAACTTTTAGAGTGCATCAGTGAGTCAGCTGCATCGGTGAGTCAGCTGCATCGATCAGGACTTGTGAATACCATGACTCACTGGTTCATTGACTCACTCACTGGTTCACTGACTCACTCACTGGTTCATTGACTCATTCACTGGTTCACTGACTCACTCACTGGTTCATTGACTCACTCACTGGTTCACTGACTCACTCACTGGTTCACTGACTCACTCACTGGTTCACTGACTCACTCACTGGTTCATTGACTCACTCAACAACAATACTATACCACTACTACTACCACTACCAACCACCATCGCCATCACCACAATTACCACCACTACCATCATCTCCAAAACCATTACCACTAACACAACTACCTCAACTACAATCATTAATACCACTACCACTACTACAACCACCACTGCCACTACCACCACTACCACAACTACCACCATTACCACCACCACCACAATCTCGTCTGGACACAATCTGTCTCCCTCTAAGAAAATTAAATTATGTTTTTTTTCTGGGTTTTTTTTCGTCAATTTGTCTTGAGTTGGTTGTTGGGTGATGAATGGCCGCGAGGAAATGAAAGAAGACGAGGACACGCGAGGACAACCACAGACACGAGATCGTTACCCTGTTCGAGGACGGTCATGAGATATCCCCACACACACACAAAAACGGTCATGAGATATCCCCACACATACAAAAACGGTCATGAGCGACAAGACACACACACACACACACACACGAAGATGATCACGAGAGAAAGAATTGATGTACACCCGAGAACGGTCATGAACGAGTATTAACGTACACAGTAAAACAGTCATGAACGAGTATTGATGTACACACAAAAGTAATCATGAAAGATCCCGGCAGACGTACACACAAAAACAGCCATAAGTGACTAAACGCACACACACACACACACACAAACACACACAGGAGAACGGCTGCGAAATAAGCAGTGGTGCAAGCATGGACTCCTGCATGATTTATCCTAGCGGGGAGGGGAGGGGAGGGGGGAGGGATTGCAGGGAGGGGGAGGGCAATGGTTTGACACACACAGGCAGAAGGGAGGAAAGGGGGCCAGATTTTTGCCTGCTTGGGTCGGAAGGATGTGATAATTTGCATAATAATTTTGTTTAACAATTGTATCAGAATAAAAGATAAATTTGCATATTTCCCTAAATTTACCAAGATACAGGGAAAAATTGCATGATATTTTCCCTAGTGACCCACCCCGCAAAAAAAAGGAAAAAATGCAACATATTTCCCTAACCACATCAACAAAGGAGGGAAAAAATCAACATAATTCCACCAACATAGAAACAGGTAAACATTGCTCACTAAATACAAACATTCTTACACGGAAAAAGAAACAGACAGACGGGAAGAGAGGGTGATGGTGAGTGCTTTATTGTTCCTTAGGGGGGGATAATAAATAAGGTAGGATGATTTAGTGGATAGAGAAGAATAAGGGGAATGACGTGGAGGAGGAAGCAGGAATAGGGGAGGTGGGAAAATAATTTATAGGGCTAGGACAGTGATGGATAGGAGGGAGAGAGAGAGAGAGAGAGAGGAGGAGAGAGAGAGAGAGAGAGAGAGAGAGGAGAGAGAGAGAGAGAGAGAGAGAGAGAGAGAGAGAGAGTTCAGTGAATAACTGAAAGAGTACAGAGCCTTTATAGGTAGATAGACACAATAAACATAAAACAGAGAAAGAGCAAAAATATAATTAAAAAAGTAATCAGTGTCCATCTTGAAATATTCTATAGGCCTAAAAGAAAAAAAAATCCACCTAAAATAAAGGAGATAAATGAGAAGAGCCTAAAAAAAAAGAATAAATGGGAGTCGGTGGTGGGGGATAGGGGGGTGGGGTGAGGGGAGGGGTGAGGGGAGGGGGGGGGGTAGGTAGAGATATATGACCAAAAAAATAATTAATCATAGACCACAGAAGGAATTACGCGCTTTAAGACAAATAGGTGGTGATAGTTTTTTTTGGGGGGGAAGGGGGAGGAGGGGAAGAGGGGGGTGGTAGGAGGAGAGGGAGGTAAGGGAGGGGTGTGACTAGGGAAGGGCAAGGTGGGGCTAAGAGAAAGAAGAAGAAGAAGAAGAAGAAGAAGAAGAAGAAGAAGAAGAAGAAGAAGAAGAAGAAGAAGAAGAAGAAGAAGAGGAGGAGGATAGTGGAGGAGGAGGAGGAGCAGGAGGAGGAGGAGGAGGATGGTGATTCTTTTTCCTCCGAGATTACAAAAGGAAAAAATATAATGATGGTAATTAATGAAGTTGGTGTATAATCTAATATGTTGGTAATCGTCAGTCTGTCTGTCTGTCTGTCTGTCTGTCTGTCTGTCATTCTGTCTGTCTGTCTGTCTGGGTACTACACATCGTATATAGAATTTTAGTAAGCCTGTCCACTAATTTGGTGTTGTGTTCCCGGGGATGAAGAGAAGAGAAGAGAAGAGAAGAGAAGAGAAGAGAAGAGAAGAGAAGAGAAGAGAGAAGAAGAGAGGAGAAGAGAGAAGAAGAGAGGAGAAGAGAGATTATGGGTCTGTTATTACGATGGGGTTAAAATAATCTCTCGTACACCATAACACTACACCATACACTACACCATACTACCACACCCTACACCACCACACCACCACACCACACCACCACACAACCACACCACACCACCACACCACACCACCACACCACCAAAAAAGATCAAACGGTCGCGCCGGTATCCATCAGAGATAATCTAAACAAACAATTTACTCCCATTGCCTCAGGTGGGGGGAAGGGGGGAGGGAGGATGGGGGGTGGGGGATGGAGAGGAAGGGAGGGAGGGAGGATGGAGGAAGGGAGAGGAGGAGGGAGAAAATAGACACAGAAGCACTTCATTTTTAAACTACTAATTTTTCTCAGTTAATTCAATATCTCTCCTTTTTTTATCTTCGTAATTGTAATGAAGAGAGTTTTTTTTTTGGGGGGGGGAGAGAAGTTATTTAAATCACATGACTGTAATTGGTTATTTGTAAATCTATTTTCTATTTTGTATCTTACAGGATTATTTTTTTTTATGTAGACACCTGAAATTGAAATAAAATTAGAGACATACTAGTATATTCCCATGGCTTCATTTTAAGGTTATTAATAATTCTATCTCTATATATATACTTTTGGGGGTCTTGTTTGGGGGTGGGGGTGGGGGGGTGGAGGACTTTATTATTAAAAAACAGTAGAGGAAAAAAAAATCACAAAATCACCCGTGTGGTTTTTAGTACAACGAGGAAAAGTTAAATGAGTTTTTGAGATTGAGATTTTTAGTTTGTAAACAAATCGATCGTGTTGACGTCTGTGGAAGGTGAAGTGTGAAAGATAGCAGGGAGAGGGGAAGGAGGGAAGGAGGGAGGGAGGAGGGAGGGAGGGGAGGGAGGGAGGAGGGAAGGAGGGAGGAGTAAGATAGAAATTGTGGATAGGAGGGAGGAGGGAGTGAGGAAGGAGTAGAAACTGTGAGAGGGAGGGAGGGAGGGTTAAATTGTGGAAGGGAAGGGGTGGGGAGAGAAGGGGGTAAAATTGTAGGAGGGAGGAGATGAATCGGAAGTGAGAGAAAGAGAGAGGAAATATTAAAGCAAGAACGGGAGAAGGGAGGAGAAGGGGGAGGAATGGGGGAGGTAGGAAGAGATAAATGTGAAGAGAGATAAAAATAGGGAATAAGGAGCGCTGTTAAAAGGAGGGAAGAAAGGAGGGAAGAAGGGGAGGGAAGGGAGGGAGGAAGGGAGGAGGAAGGAAGGAGGAAGGGAGGGAAGAAGGAGGAAGAAGGAGGAAAGGAGGAAGGGGGGAGGGAAGGGAGGGAAGAAAAGGAGGAAGAAGGAGGAAGGATTGGATGGAGGAAAGGGAGGGAGGTAGGGAAGGAGGAAGGGAGGAGGGAGGGATAAGAGTTAAACAGTAAGAGGGGGAGAAACG